GCAATCACTGCAGCAACAATGTGAGTGCTTGTTCAACTGTATGAATCCTTGTCTCATTGGTAAGTTCAACTTACTGCAAGTGTGATAATTTAAGCAATTTCAATGCATTCACTTTTTTGGGCAGGGGTTAAAATCATGCATCAAACCATTAGTTAGTACGTCATGCCAATATTGTTCCTTTCTACAAAAAGCGATTCATGCATTTTACATGATCAGGAAAATAAAAGAAAATTAACCCCTGCAAAATGTTCAGGTTAACAGGTTCTTTTGACCATATACTGTGAATTCATTATTATTTGATGTTTACCAATATTCCAGAACATCTGACAGCACACTTTTTACAATAGGACAACATTCTAATCTACAAGGACGATTCTTACCGTTTTCCATTTCAAAGATGTCTAAAATTCAAAAACTAAATAAAAATCATGCAATAACACAACTTATTTTCTCCTCAATATAAATACATACTATAGAATGCTATATTCTTATCCTTAATTATTTTGAATGCATCTATTTATGAAATTAACTAATTCATGCAATTTGAAAATACATTTATTTCTGAATTTCATTTTTAAATTACCACAAAGTATCAACTTTAAAGAAATCTATTTGAATAATGAATTTTATAAATGATTTTTATTTTTGGATATATATATTTCATTTATGTGAAAAATCCCTAGTCGAGGGATTTTCAAATTGTCTTTCTAGTTTTACACATAATACATTGATGGAATAAAGTCTTTGCATTGGGATTTGAAATATTGAAATTATCTATGAAATCTGCAAAATAATGATATTCAAAAATAAAAATACTTTTACAACATTGTGTAAAATCAGATTGATGCATATCTACTTTCATAATCGTGCCAATCCCGATACTTTTTAATTATTCGTTTTGCATGATTCGATACAAATGCACTTGGATAGTAACATTTTCAAACATTTTGAACATATTGAAAATAAAACTCGGCCAATCAAATGATTGAGCAATAAGAATTAAAGAAATGAAAGGTTAAAATACTTAAAACATGCTACAGAAAATATAATTAACTAATTAACTTCATTCATATGTCCACCCAAAAGTTTGCTTAATTTATCTGTTTAATAAATGTATGAAATCTGTATAATGAATTATATATTATATATGTGAAATCTACTGGAACATGCACACATTATCAGTGCAGGTGTTATAAATATGTGACAAGCGTTGGTGATATATAAAGTCTGATGATCTTCATTTGCAATTGTGTAATATGCTCACATGTCCATGCTGACATAATATTAAGTGTTATTTGTCCTGGTGATCAGTTATCTCCCTTCTAAAGCCAGCAAAATGTATCCCAGTGTCGAAAATTTTGATTTTTTTTCATTCAAGTGGGAGCAACTCATTAACAAAAAGTTCGAAAGGGATCCTTGGGAACCGTGTCCCTCGCCCGACTTTGCTGCTACCAGTGTAAAAGTATAATGTTGACTGCCAAAAAATCAGTTCATTTATTAGCAAAATATGGAGAATATTTTACCACTGTAATTCCACTGTAATAATGACTTTGGAAAATTTTACAACTGTAATTCCACTGGAATACATTGTTCCTTGATTTAAATATATACATGCATTTATAACTATTTTCATGATATTAAAATACTTTGGAAAACCAAGTGTACATAAAAAAAGCTCATGAGTAGTTTGATAATTTAGTGATGAAAAACCATGAACAAATCTTGAGTGCACTTTAAAAGATTGTTTTCAAAAATTAAAAGCAGGGTTGCGTGATTTATCATTAAGATACTGATGGGCATTATTTTTGGTAGAAAAAAGTACTTATATTAAATTCTAATAGCTATTATCAGTACAATTCATTTGTACCTAGTCCAAATAATTATGATGTCTTGAAAGGCTATTTAATTGTTGCTTTGACACCTTCTGCAGCAACGTGCAAAGCCAAAAAATAAAATTGCCATTCTGTTGAAAAAAGTTAATGCAACACTCTAATTTGTTTCTTATACATTGAAATTTCTCGATCTGAATACAGTTCTCCCACCATACCGGCCAAATCAAGAAGACCCAGCAGATTTGCGTTTAATTAAATGGTTATTCCTTGAAATCGGGAACTGGCCGGTATTTTTGTATTTAAATAATTAAAATAATTAAAATCAATAAAATTCATCCTCATAAAACGGGCCTTGTAATCTGAAATCACTGATCAGTACGTATCATTTGTAATGTAACCTTCAGATCGTCCGGTCAATCAGGTCAACTGAATACTCCGAGGCTGTGATTACTGTTCACCTGTCAATTTAGTTTCAATACCTTCTTTCATTGTGTTATGACAGTTTGTAACAATTACACTTACAGCACACTTACGTACAGGTAATTATGAAACAGTATCGTGAATACTGATTAGACTGTGGGTCAATAACAAATGGAAGTTTTTAAAGACCCAGACTGGCTATACAGTCCTTGCACGGTCAGTTAATTGTGGGTCAGTAGAACATTTTAACTAATTATTTGTGATACCGTAGAAAGGCTTGTATAGTCCGCGGTTTTATTCTCCAAAATTGGACCTTCCAGACGGGGTGCGGACTATAGAGTACAATAAGCAAGAAATAAGAGAAAAATTTCAATTTCGCGGTCGAGGTGGTTTGTTTACGTTCCGCCATCTTTGTTATTTCTATTGTAGAGGGCGCTCTTATCATTTTCAAACTAATAATTTTAACTCATCCATATTAATAAGTTATTTCTATTCAATATCAAATTAATACTGATAAATATAAAAACTAAACCTTTCATTACAAATTTCTCGTTTCTTTTCAATGCATTGGTTGAAATAAACTGGTATCTGCTCGATTGAAACGATACAAACATAGTGAAAAAGACAACCGTAAACCAGCTTAGAATTTGTAAACTACAAAACGAAATCGGTTATTGTTCGTTCCGTTTTGGTGTTTCATACTGACTAATATGGTTTGTATTAGCTTAAGACCCTTCAAACATTAATGTGATAGATATATTAAAGACTGTTTTACAAAAGGATGGAACTGTTTTGCTTTCAAAGTCGTATTATAGTGATATCTGTTATGTACGGATTTCGACTCTCACCGGTTAATTTCTTCTTTTACACGTGCTTTTTAAACTTCCTGTTTAAACATACACAAGTTTCTAAATTGTTTTTTAAGTGAATTAAACTTATTTTAACAATCATGAAGCGTTCTAGAATCATTAACAAGCAGTTTCAGCTTCTGTTTGATGATGGAAAACAGGTTTTTCCAAGAAAATACCGCAAACGACCGCACAGGATTTGAAATTACCGGAGTTTCATTAGACCTTTTCTAACAGTTACAAAAAGTTTTTTTTCCTAAAATTTCGTGGGGAGAAGGGGGTGCGGACTATGTACCACTGCGAACTATACAAGCCTTTCTACGGTATATCATTAATGTATGGTATTTCTATTTTTTATTCCTGCAAAATATTTTTTTTTCAAATAAGTGAAATAGAAGTTGTAGCTGTATTTTACGATAGATATTATTTACAAAACTAAAATTCACAAAGGAAAACGTATATTTTGATTAAGGTAAAATACATTTTCAAATATTCTCAAACACCCATATTAAAGGGAAGTAACTCTTGGTGATTTCAAATTTCAACAAACCGGCAACCCCCGCAAATAAGCCTTTTTTGTGGTCGTTGGGAAGTTTCACTGGAATACCGTTACGGGGACGAATCAACTTTGGGCCGATATTATATGGGGCGAGATTGACACCTTGACGTAAACGCACTGACATACGTCATCAAAATATGATTACGCTGGATAAACAAAATGGAGAATCCAAACGCAAATGTTTTCAGATAAGTATTTGATTTTACATATGATAATTATAAAAAACAATTTGTTGAGGCACTATAAAACATTTAGGATTTTAATCTGAGCAAAACATCAGAAAGTTTTGACAGACAATTAATCAATTTAATGTAATGAATATATATATTGTTGTCACATTCATAACAGACTGACAACAGACATAAATCTGACATGTAAATGGTATATGATAATCTGATATGTATAAATTAAATTGTGTAAATTAACTTGGTGAAAATTATAGGTCGCCAGTTTTATCTTCAAGGGATAAAAAAGGGGGGTACTTAATTTGAGTTTAGGCTTCCAATGAATGTAAGATTATGATATATATAATATATATGCATAATACTGTTTCTATTGAATTTATTGCTTCATAGAATCATTAATACCTCTTGAACAATTGATTCTTTGTGGATATTTTTGCACTGTTAGGGGATTAAATATGAGCTGCCAGCAATGATATGAAACAGATTTCATGCAGACTCCATTTGAGTACCTTTATTCGGCAATTCTAGTTGGAAGTACAGAGACAGCTAGTTTTAAATTACAGAAAGGAAGAGAAGTTTATATCTGACACATAATTTTTATATTAGTTACTGTGAATTCATTTATTTTCGTGGTTACTAATTTTCGTGGATTAAGGAAAACTTGCATGTTCGTGGATATTTAATTTCGTGGTTTTGTCGAAGTCTGTATACAAGCCTATAAACAATTTGTCATTCGTTGAACATTTAATTTCGTGGTTCACCTGTACCCACAAAATCCACGAAAATTGGTATCCAACGAATAATAATGAATCCACAGTAATCAGTTTGTGTGTTCAAAATACCACTGGAATTACATTTGCATTCCACTGGAATAATTTGGCTGGAATTCCACTGGAATACCAGTGATATAACACTGTAATTTCCACTGGAATTCCAGGGATGCAGTGGAATATTTTGGCTGGAATCCACTGGAATACCAGTGGAAAGCCAATGTAGTTCCAGTGGAATTCCAGCCAAATTATTCCACTGAAAATCACTGGAATTCCAGTGGAAATTACAATGGAATATCAGTGGTATTCCAGTGCAATTCAACTGTTCTTTTTCTCTAGGGAAGTGCAATATGAATTTTTTTACGCTTGAAAACGCCCAATGTTACCTCTTTAGCTCTCATCCTACGGCTTGATATCTTGTAATAATAGTCTCCACTACTGAAGTCGTGAGTACAATCTTGTAATAGTCCTCTTACACCTTTCTCTGACTCAAATAATAAATATACATAACCTGTAAAAATAAAACAGTAATGTAATAATATACCATCCTGGTTCCGGTTGGGTGTGTTTTACAACCCTGATTGGCTATTAAGCCCTCGCACTGTAGGCCACTACCATCCTAGACCAAATACATCACTATTTACAATTTACTTTAAAAAGCCTGGGTATAATAATAATTATGCATAACATGTAAAAATATTTAAGTATAATAAAACAACTTTCCCCCACTCAATTCTGTTTTTGTGTCGATTCGCTGCCATCTCATATACTTAAAACATCATATACTTTTTAGACTCTTTGTTCAGATCTAAATTATTTTAAGTTGACGATGGATGGCTGTTTCACATCAAGTGGCAAACTAAATGCATATTCAGCAAGAGAACATGTTAATGTGATATCAATATATTTTTTTCTAGACGTACACTCTTGAGACCAATTTATTAGGTACTAGGTCAGATTAGGTAACAGTCAGTAAGAAGACATGTCACCCTACCCGAATAATATTTTCTGAATCAGGGACAACTACGTCATCCCTCTTACTCCTAAATGCTGCGTTCCAAGGAAAGAAGCATCAAATTACAATTTTCAACTATTTGTTTCTAATAGCTGGGGATCCAACCTAAAACCTCCTTCACTTGAGGGGATAATGCTACCAAAGACAACATAAGCGGTTCTTTTATGTATTCTATCATACCAAATTATCAAACTGGATCAACATTTTGCTAGTCAAATCGTGTGGGAGAAAATGAAGGGGTTCATGTGTCATTGATATACAAATAAGGTCCAACTATAAAGGAATTTAAATAAATAGAGAATGTGTCCATGGGACACAGATGATGCCCCAGCTTGCATATAATGTTATAAAGGGACAAAACTATAGAATTGTAAAAGTGACACCACCCAAATTTGAACTTGATCCATGTTTTATGGTAATAAACATTGTGTATAAGTTTCATAACATTTGATTGAGGCAAACTAAATTTAGAGAACGGAAACCAATTTTGACAAGGTTAAACACTTAATGCCCCCTTCGCCTAGCGGCTTGGGCATAAAAACAAACTCAGCACCAAACACAATATTTCAAACTTTGAAAACAAAAGGTTAATATTGTCAGATTCCCTGTCAGATTTGTGCATACTGATCTTTTATAAATTCAGAAATTTTTGTGATACTGAGAAAAATCCTGCTTTATTCATATAAAAAAAATCCAAAATGTGAGTTTAAATTATTCCGATTACAACCCTGTCTGATTTTCGCAATAAAAAAACATTGCAATAATTTCTGAATTTACAGTATTACTTTTTAAATATATAACAACTGAAAATATCACAGTCTCACAAAAATCAAACATTGATCTGACAGACATGTAGAGCATACATTATCTTCATAGTTAACTTTTATTTCGCTTATTCTTATACTACACTTACTAAGACTCTGACAGAATTACCTCACTTAACATTGGCTAAGGCAAGAGTTTTTCAATTTGTAGGTTTACAGATTTTTTATGTGAAAACGTCCGGTCGGTCAGTCGGGCGGAAAAAAAAAATCTTACAAGACATAAATATCTATATAAAAAAATATGTTTCAGCTTACTTACATTATTTTTTAAACTTTAAACATGCAATTCACACAATCATCATACAAGTTGTAATAAACAGCTGCGCCATGAGCGCATGATATGCCCGTCGTCTTGTGTGTGAATTTTTATGCCATCAGCATAAATAGTTTCTGACATACGCGTGGACATGAGAAACCCCCTTTTTTTTTTACAAAAAACTCAATATCTCTAAAATAAAATTTTGAATCAAAACCAAAAAGTATACAGATCTTTAGATTAATATAACTAAGAAGTGTGTGAAATTTTAAGCAATAATCATAAATCGTTTTTGAGATACGGCGCGACATGCGAAAACCCCCCTTTAAAAAAAAAAAAAATCAATATCTCAAAAATAAAATTTTGAATCACAACCAAAAAGTATATAGATCTTTAGATTAATATAACTAAGAAGTGTGTAAAATTTTAAGCAATAATCATAAATCGTTTTTGAGATACGGCGCGACATGTGAAAAACCCCTCCCCCTTTTTTTACAAAATACTCAATAACTCAAAAATAAAATTTTGAATCATCACCAAAAAGTATACAGATCTTAAGGTTAATATAACTAAGAAGTGTGTAAAGTTTTAAGCAATAATCATAAACTGTTTTTGAGATACGGCGCGACATGTGAAAAAAAACACACACCTGTTTTAGTTACTAAGTCCCGTACCTCAAAAAGTTTTAATCTTATTTTCACCAAAAAGTATACAGATCGTTTGACCATCATAAGAAACAACTATGTTAAGTTTCATGAAATTTGGATAAGTCATTCTCAAGTTACGGTGCGACATGTTTACGCCGGACAGACAGACGCCGGACATTTTTATACCATAATACGTCCCGTCAAAAATTTGACGGGCGTATAAAAAGGGGGTATGTCCACGGAAAAACAGGAAAATAAAAAATATTTGCACAAACAACATTTCAAAGTCATTTTCAATTGTCTTATTTTAGAAGTGCACTACCGATATTTTTTTATTTCTCTTTCTTTAGAACACAATGTGTAATCATTTCTGATCCTGAAAATTGGAAAAATTGGGTTGGCAGATTCGTAAACCAACAAATTCAAACACTCTCGCCTAAAGAACCATGAAAATGAGGCTAGGGTCAGGTGAACCATGTGGGATGGAAAAGATTATATATTTTCTGAACACCAAAAATGCTCATATACTGCATGGAAATGAAGTTCCCATTGCGTTTGCATACAAACTGAAAAGTCAGTCATAGTACTTATTCTAAAAAGGACTTACTCATATGGTGCTGAAAATGTAAACAAAAGACCTGCAAAGTGAACACTTACGTTTTAATATAACCTAAATCTTTGCAAAATTTGAAGCAGAGGAGATGCAAATGGCAGTGCAAATTAGAACTCTCCTTTACAAAGGACTGTAAATATTCATGCATATCAAATTTAAAAAATTTGCATATTTCCTTAATAATTCTGTTGAAATTTAATTTTAATGTTATATTACCATCTTTTCCTGGCCATTCAATCTTAAAAGCTCCAAATTTACCAAAGGATGTCTGTAGTCCAGCTGTAAATAATAGTATAACAAATAAACTGATTATGTTACCACTTAATAAAAATCTGAAGATTTGAACCCTTGCTAAACAGATATCTCTACTCTTCGTGTATTTACTATAGATGCCTCATGATACAGATTTTACTGTTACTTATAATTACACACACAAAAATAGGTGTGTTTATGAATATATCAAAATCTAAAATGTTCATTGTATGACCTGACAAAATTTAGTTTTGAAATGTTTTCCTATTTACACGAAGCATAACATTTCATTGTGCATACTGTGGATTCATTTATTTTCGTGGGTATCAATTTTCGTGGATTGAGGAAAACTCGCATTTTCGTAGATATTTGATTTCGTGGTTTTGCCAATCTCTGCATACAAAGCCTATGGAAAATTTGTAATTCGTTGAACATTTGAATTCGTGGTTCACCTGTACCCACGAAACCCACGAAAATTGGTATCCAACGAATAATAATGAATCCACAGTATACTAACTTCATTTTGTTTTGTTTTGGTTTGCTGTCTGATTAAACTATACCCCACACATTCTTTATATACCTTTAATTTATAAATTATTGTGAGGTTTTTATTAATGCGAATTATGTCACTGGTGGAGTATCGCAATAATAAGAACTCGCATTCGGATGTCCAATCCATATATCTGTACGCTCATTTTCCTCAAATTGCAATAATTAACATCACATTTTTGTCCTTTCTTCAAAAATTGCAATAACAAATGCACGCAATAATTTCTGAATTTACAGTATTGACTAGAATTGACAGTTTTCTTGCCAAAGGTCACCACCTTCTTCCACAAATACAAACTATCGCAATGAGGAATTTGCTAAGCCAAGTGAACTTAAAGTGGTGTAAAACACGTACAATAAATCAATCCTTTTTCATTCTTTGTATACATACATTGTGTGATGTATTTTCATTTTTTTGGGGGGGTGGGGGGTAGGGGGGGAGGGGGTGCTGTCTGATTGCTCTATACCCCTTATATACCCCATATGTATACATACATTCTGTGATGTCCCAAGGTACTCCACCTAGAAAAACTTTACAAGAGTAGGTTGGATTCTTATGATTCCTTGGAGGTAGTTGTCCACTCCATGTACAACTGGCTTCACACATTGCTGAAATATATCAACAGTGTTACTATGTTAACTTATAAATATGGACAAACATACCAAATATCAATTTACTCTTTTGATATTTGGAATTTTAAAAAATATCTGAATAGAATATAAAAGTACTGAACATTAAAACTGAAAAAAAGAACAAATTTGGTTAAAACTGAATATAATGGAAATCTAGGAATCTGTATGAACTTCATCTTTAATCAAATGTATTCAAATGCAATTTCTCCTATTTCTTGGTTTATTTACTTACAAACTGCAAGTACATTGGATAAAACCCATCATCTGTTTTATATACAATTTGCAATGGTAAAAGAGAGTTGGCTTGGTAGCATAGTTTTTCATTGGTATAGAATTTTCATCAACTTCTTCAGATATTTGGGGACTTCTTTAAAATACTTCATCATTTTAATTACAGGTCCCGGCGTTTTCATATGGAAACACCAGTTAAAAAACACAACTTTCTACTTCGTCTGCAGAAAACTTTGACTTACTTATTTTTAGAAAAAATAGGCATGTGACAATTGAAAAATGAATTGAAAAAGAGTGAAATGGAATAAAAAATTTAAAAAAAATAGAGAAAAATTGCTTAATAAAATCAAGAATCCCCCCAATAGGACCCTGCTATTTGATCCACTGACCTGCTGCATTTCTATGTAACCTTGCTGCTCTATCAATAGCATATGGATCCACATTTGCCATTAAGAAAGGATTAATAACTGAGTAACCTCTAGATGTTTGTACCATCTGACTTGCACCAGTTCCCTCCCTTTGTTGTTGTAAGGCCTGCAACTGTTGTTGGGTTGACAATGCTTGTTGTTGCTGCTGGGCTTGAAATAATTGTGCTGCCACATCCGCATGCGTTTGCTGAGGTTGGACTTGTTGTTGCTGCTGCTGTTGTTGTTTAGTTCGGTTTCCCATATTTAATGAGTGCTAAAAATTAAATGAATGATAGAATGATGGCAGATTAACATCCAGTAGCAAATATTACTGGCAGGTTTAAGACTATGAAATCAGTTGTAAGACTATTTCCTACTTACTTGAACATGCTAAATATGATAAAAATGTGAAGAAATCTATTTAGCACACTCCTGGACTCCCTGCCAATTATCTAATGCATTCTGGGTAATATCATCAAATACTTACACCAACTTGTTATCATTGGTTAAAATGTTCTAAACAATGGAAATACAACCAATGAATTGACAATATTTTCATTTTGTTTTGGTGTATGATAAATGAAATTACCCATAGTCCCTTAGATTCTAAAACAGTGAACTACCAGACCACAGAGACAATGACTATATATAGAAATAAATGCATAAGACATGATAATCACTGTCTAGTGTTTTGTTGCTTATGGAATTTATATCCATTCTCTAGAAATTTTTATTTTGTTTCCTTTAAAATATTCTATTCTAGCTGTTTTTTTACAATAAATTGTTCAACTACATCTAAAAATTTCAGGCCAAGAAAAAAATTGTTTTACAGTAACAAAATTGCTCAGCGTAGTATTTTATGTAGTGTATTGTGGATCAATTTCTATAGTGTTTTATGTAGTGTATTATGGATCAATTTCTATAGTGTTTTATGAAGTGTATTGAGGATCAATTTCTATAGTTTTTTATATAGTGTATTATGGATCAATTTCTATAGTGCTTTATGAAGTGTATTGAGGATCAATTTCTATAATTTTTTATATAGTGTATTGTGGATCAATTTCTATATCGTTATTTAACATTTGCTACTAAAAGAAGAACTCTAGAGAGGCTGTGGTGTTGGAAATACTGTTTGACTAAAACAACCCTCAAAATGAAGAACAGAAATATTAGCCTACTTTCTTCTTTCAATGCATTAAGTATTTATACCATCATATCAATAAGTGCTGCCTCTGAACCTTCACTGCTAATTCCACTTGTGTCTGAGTCAGCTGGTGATGTACTTCTACGACTTCCTGATATCAAATTAGAATACAGTATCTTCTCAACAGGAGATAGGGTATCATTCATTGTACTGTTAGGAGAGGACGTCCCATAATCACTGAAATGTAAACAAGACATTATTCATTGTACTGTTAGGAGAGGACGTCCCATAATCACTGAAATGTAATAAATGTAAACAAGACATTATTCATTGTACTGTTAGGAGAGGACGTCCCATAATCACTGAAATGTAAACAAGGCATTATCATTGTACTGTTAGGAGAGGACGTCCCATAATCACTGAAATGTAATAAATGTAAACAAGACATTATTCATTGTACTGTTAGGAGAGGACGTCCCATAATCACTGAAATGTAAACAAGACATTATTCATTGTACTGTTAGGAGAGGACGTCCCATAATCACTGAAATGTAAACAAGACATTATCATTGTACTGTTAGAAGAGGACGTCCCATAATCATTGAAATGTAATAAATGTAAACAAGACATTATTCATTGTACTGTTAGGAGAGGACGTCCCATAATCACTGAAATGTAAACAAGACATTATTCATTGTACTGTTAGGAGAGGACGTCCCATAATCACTGAAATGTAAATAAGGCATTATCATTGTACTGTTAGGAGAGGACGTCCCATAATCATTGAAATGTAATAAATGTAAACAAGACATTATTCATTGAACTGTTGGGAGAGGACGTCCCATAATCACTGAAATGTAAACAAAACATCATTCATTGTACTGTTAATAGAGGACGTCCCATAATCACTGAATTGAAAAACAAGACATTATATCATTGTACTGTTAGAAGAGGACGTCCCATAATCACTGAATTGAAAAACAAGACATTATACATTGTACTTTTGGGAGAGGACGTCCCATAATCACTGAGATGTAATCAAGACATTATTCGTTGAACTGTTAGTTCTCAGGACGTCCCATAATCACTGAAATGTAAAGACATTGTTCACTGAACTGTTGGGAGAGTACGTCCCATAATCACTAAAATGTAAACAAGACATTATTTGTTGAACTGTTAGGAGAGGAACATCATGAAAAGCCATTTATCTATTTTGCAGTTTTCAGGTACCTTTGGTGTACTTTGGCTTCTATGATTGATTGATGCTTGCTTAGCAGTTAATTTCAAATATTTAATTCATTTTCAGGATGAATTATGACGGACCTTTGATAGCCCTTAAGTATTCTTCTGGTGTCTCAAGCAGACTGTAAATTCAGAAATTATTGCGATGTTTTTACAAGTGGGAATAATGTGACAGTAATCAAAATTTGAATTGATAATTTCAGTAGCAATTTTCCTTCATAAATTTTTTTAAATTACTTTATTTGAAATTCATATTTTTATCAGTGGTCGATGAATTCACAAAAATTCGTAAGGGTTCCGCAGAACCCAGTGTCTCGCCTACTTTTGCTGTTAATCGCAGGCTCAACAAAAATGAGATGAGGATAAAATTTAATAAAAATATTCCTCTCAATACAATTTTTTTTGTTGTAAGAAGCTTCTGTCCAAGTTTGGTAAAAATCCAGGTTAGTTTATGAATCTAATAAAAGTTTTAAAAAATTTAACTGCAGACTGTATGTAATGTTAACTGGAAGAAAAACTAAGTCCATTTATAAGTAAAATACGGAAAAAATGGAACAAAATTCTAACAAATTTTCCTTCTAGATACTAGCTTTTAATCATAAACAAGCTTCTGTCCAAGTTTGGTACAAATCCAGGATAGTTTGAGAAAGTTATTAAAATTTCAAAAACTTTAACCACAGAGTGAATGTAATGTTTCCTGGCAGTAAAACTAAGTCCATTTATAAGTACAATACGGAAAAAATGGAATTTTGTTTTTACAAAATTTACTTTTGAATATTATCTTATGATCATAAACAAGCTTCTGTCCAAGTTTGGTAGAAATCCAGGATAGTTTAAGAAAGTAATTAAAATTTCAAAAACTTTAACCACAGAGTGAATATTTGTGGACGCCGACGACAACAACAGAATGAAGAATCGTTATGTCTCGCTTTTTCAACAAAAGTCGAAGGCTCGACAATAAGGAATACATGCATGTTTTCGGTGTGAGCCAAGGCTCCGTATTGAAGGCCGTACTTTGACCTATAATTTTAACTTTTTATACATTTTGACTTGGATGGAGAGTTGTCTCATTGACACTCATACCACATCTTCTTATTTATATTAATTTCTGAATTTACAGTATCTGCTATTGTGAGCTAACTAAGGTGTACTTGGGCTCCTATCTTGATCTTTGATAGTCCCGTAGTACCTCTGTGGTGTTTAATATATACCTGCTAATTTGAGCTGACTTAGGTTTTCTTGGGACTCCGATATAAACCTTTGACATTCCTAGAGTATGTCTGTGGTGTCTACTGCATACCTGCTATTTTGAGATTGCCCAGGTGTACTTGGGTTCCTGTCTGGACATTTGGTTACTTTGGAGTTTCTGTGGTTTCTTATGCATATCTGTGGTATTTAGCTTACATGGATATACTTGGGGTCCTATCTGGAACTTTGATCGCCCTCGAGTTTCTGTGGTGTCTTATGCAGACCTGCTGTCTTAAGCTTATCTGGGTGTACTTGCCCTCGAGTTTCTGTGGTGTCTTATGCAGACCTGCTGTATTAAGCTTATCTGGGTGTACTTGCCCTCGAGTTTCTGTGGTGTCTTATGCAGACCTGCTGTATTAAGCTTATCTGGGTGTACTTGCCCTCGAGTTTCTGTGGTGTCTTATGCAGACCTGCTGTTTAAGCTTATCTGGGTGTACTTGCCCTCGAGTTTCATGGTGTCTTATGCAGACCTGCTGTATTAAGCTTATCTGGGTGTACTTGCCCTCGAGTTTCTGTGGTGTCTAATGCAGACCTGCTGTATTAAGCTTATCTGGGTGTACTTGCCCTCGAGTTTCTGTGGTGTCTTATGCAGACCTGCTGTATTAAGCTTATCTGGGTGTACTTGCCCTCGAGTTTTTGTGGCGTCTTATGCAGACCTGCTGTATTAAGCTTATCTGGGTGTACTTGCCCTCGAGTTTCTGTGGTGTCTTATGCAGACCTGCTGTATTAAGCTTATCTGGGTGTACTTGCCCACTTGAGTTTCTGTGGTGTCTTATGCAGACCTGCTGTATTAAGCTTATCTGGGTGTACTTGCCCTCGAGTTTCTGTGGTGTCTTATGCAGACCTGCTGTATTAAGCTTATCTGGGTGTACTTGCCCTCGAGTTTCTGTGGTGTCTAATGCAGACCTGCTGTATTAAGCTTATCTGTGTGTACTTGCCCTCAAGTTTCTGTGGTGTCTTATGCAGACCTGCTGTATTAAGCTTATCTGGGTGTACTTGCCCTCGAGTTTCTGTGGTGTCTTATGCAGACCTGCTGTATTAAGCTTATCTGGGTGTACTTGCCCACTTGAGTTTCTGTGGTGTCTTATGCAGACCTGCTGTATTAAGCTTATCTGGGTGTACTTGCCCACTTGAGTTTCTGTGGTGTCTTATGCAGACCTGCTGTATTAAGCTTATCTGGGTGTACTTGCCCTCGAGTTTCTGTGGTGTCTTATGCAAACCTGCTGTATTAAGCTTATCTGGGTGTACTTGCCCTCGAGTTTCTGTGGTGTCTTATGCAAACCTGCTGTATTAAGCTTATCTGGGTGTACTTGCCCTCGAGTTTCTGTGGTGTCTAATGCAGACCTGCTGTATTAAGCTTATCTGGGTGTACTTGCCCTCGAGTTTCTGTGGTGTCTTATGCAGACCTGCTGTATTAAGCTTATCTGGGTGTACTTGCCCTCGAGTTTCTGTGGTGTCTAATGCATACCTGTTGTATTAAGCTTATCTGGGTGTACTTGCCCTCGAGTTTCTGTGGTGTCTTATGCAGACCTGCTGTATTAAGCTTATCTGGGTGTACTTGCCCTCGAGTTTCTGTGGTGTCTAATGCAGACCTGCTGTATTAAGCTTATCTGGGTGTACTTGCCCTCGAGTTTCTGTGGTGTCTTATGCAGACCTGCTGTATTAAGCTTATCTGGGTGTACTTGCCCTCGAGTTTTTGTGGTGTCTTATGCAGACCTGCTGTATTAAGCTTATCTGGGTGTACTTGCCCTCAAGTTTTTGTGGTGTCTTATGCAGACCTGCTGTATTGAGCTTATCTGGGTGTACTTGCCCTCGAGTTTCTGTGGTGTCTTATGCAGACCTGCTGTATTAAGCTTATCTGGGTGTACTTGCCCTCGAGTTTCTGTGGTGTCTAATGCAGACCTGCTGTATTAAGCTTATCTGGGTGTACTTGCCCTCGAGTTTCTGTGGTGTCTAATGCATACCTGTTGTATTAAGCTTATCTGGGTGTACTTGCCCTCGAGTTTCTGTGGTGTCTTATGCAGACCTGCTGTATTAAGCTTATCTGGGTGTACTTGCCCTCGAGTTTCTGTGGTGTCTAATGCAGACCTGCTGTATTAAGCTTATCTGGGTGTACTTGCCCTCGAGTTTCTGTGGTGTCTTATGCAGACCTGCTGTATTAAGCTTATCTGGGTGTACTTGCCCTCGAGTTTTTGTGGTGTCTTATGCAGACCTGCTGTATTAAGCTTATCTGTGTGTACTTGCCCTCGAGTTTCTGTGGTGTCTTATGCAGACCTGCTGTATTGAGCTTATCTGGGTGTACTTGCCCACTTGAGTTTCTGTGGTGTCTTATGCAGACCTGCTGTATTAAGCTTATCTGGGTGTACTTGCCCTGGAGTTTCTGTGGTGTCTAATGCATACCTGTTGTATTAAGTTTATCTGGGTGTACTTGTCCTGTAGTTTCTTTGGTAGCTTACCTGGGTGTACTTGCCTTAGAGTTTCTGTGGTGTCTAATGCATATCTGCTGTATCAACTTGACCTGGGTGTACTTGCCCTCAAGTTTCTGTGGTGTCTAATGCATATCTGCTGTATCAACTTGACCTGGGTGTACTTGCCCTCAAGTTTCTGTGGTGTCTAATGCATATCTGCTGTATCAACTTGACCTGGGTGTACTTGCCCTCAAGTTTCTGTGGTGTCTAATGCATACCTGCTATATTAAGCTTACCTAGGTGAACTAGGGCTTGAATTCTGTGGTGTCTTAATGCATACCTGCTATATTAAGCTTACTTTATTTTACTTGCCCTAGAGTTTCTGTAGTGCCGAATGCATACCTGCTGTATTAAGCTTACCTGGGTGTACTTGGGCTTCTATCTGGACCTTTGATTGCCCTAGAGTATTTTTGTGGTGTCTGATACATGTCTGCAGGTTTATAGCTATATAACGAGGATTGAGGAACTGTTTGGGGTTGTTGCTGTTGTTGCTGTTGGGAGGCTGGTACAGAAAATAAATGTAAACCTGGAAATTATAAAATGATTGCATTAATATTCAAGTCATGTTAGCTTTCACAATTTGTATAAAGTCTAATGTAACGGATGATTGATTGTTTGGTTGGTGTTTAATGCCACTTTTAGCACTATTGGCCATTTCGTTGCGGTCAGTTTTTAATGGTGGAGGAAGCCAGAGAGCCCAGTGACAACCGACTACCTTGAGCAGGAACTAATGTAAAGGAAATACCTTAATTTCTAGTCAGCCACTTTGACATTTAGACCAAACAGTAAGTATGGGCGTTAGATTTTCCTCCTAAAACAAAATAATGTAGGTATGTGGGTAGAATCTTAATTTTTTTAATTTTTATCTTCTTTTACTAACAGTATTAAGAAGTTTTGTCATCTTGCACTGTGAAAGTCTGGATGGGGTTTACAGATCATAACAGAAAAATGTTATCAAATAAAGAGAAAAATGTGCAAAAATAGAGAATAAAAGGAAAAAAGAAAAAAAAATAGACCAAAAAAATTAAAGAACAAAGAATACTGGGCAAAACTAATAAAGAATAGAGAATAAAGGCTAAAAATTAAAGAATACAGAAATGAACACTCTCCATCCAGGCCCTCTTCTATTACAGGTATCAATAAATACTATTTTAAAGCATACAAAAGAGTAGATAAGGAAACCCTTAACACAAACTTGTTATTTCTGTTTTGGCCTTAAGGGTAATAACTAGAGGCTCTCAAGAGCCTGTGTCACTCACCTGTATCTTCGGTGGTTTTGGAAATCATGTAAAATAAGGTTTAAATCATAATAATTAGTATTAGATACCCTAATAATGATTGAGGCCAAGTTTGGTTTAAATTGGCCCAGTAGTTACATTAAAAGCAGGTCATCCCACTAGTAACTAGACTTACAGTAGTTACTGAAGACCCCTTATCATTTTTTAAAGTAGTTTTCAAGTTGTGACCATTTGAAATTGTTTTTTTTACAATTTTCCCTTAGACTTCTATAGTAAATCCCTATGTTCTATTTTAAGTCATGGCGGCCATGTTGGTTGGATGACAGGGTCATTGGATACATTTTTCAATCAAGATACCCTATTGAAAATTGTGGCTAAGTTTAATTCTATTTGTCCCAGTAAATTCAGTGGAGAAGGTTTTTGTAAAAGATTAAAAAAATTTACGAAAAAAAATTGTTAAAAATTTGACTATAAAGGGCAATAACTCCATAAGGGGTAAATTGAAGATTTTGGTCATATTGACTTATTTGTAGATCGTACTTTGCTGAACATTATTGCTGTTTACAGTTTATCTCTATCTATAATAATATTTAAGATAATAACCAAAAACTGCAAAATTTCCTTAAAATTACCTATATTCAGAGGCGCAGCAACCCAACGGGTTGTCTGATTCATCTAAAATTTCAGGGCAGATAGATCTTAACCTGCTGAACATTTTTACCAATGTCAGATTTGGTCTAAATGCTTTAGTTTCGGAGATATAAGCCAAAGACTGCATTTTACCCCTATGTTCTAATTTTAGCCATGTCGGCCATCTTGGTTGGCAGGCGGGGTCATTGGACACATTCTTTAAACAAGATACCCTAATGATGATTGTGGCCAAGTTTGGTTAAATTTGGTCCAATAGTTTCAGAAGATTACAAAAATTTAAGAAAAATTGTTAAAAATTGACTATAAAGGGCAATAACTCCTTAAGGGGTCAATTGACAATTTTGATCATGTTTGACTTATTTGTAGATCTTACTTTGCTGAACATTATTGCTGTTTACAGTTTATCTCTATCTATAATAATATTCAAGATAATAACCAACTAGAGGCTCTAAAGAGCCTGTGTCGCTTACCTTGGTATATGTGCATATTAAACAAAGGACACAGATGGATTCATGACAAAATTGTGTTTTGATGATGGTGATGTGTTTGTAGATCTTACTTTACTGAACATTCTTGATGCTTACAATTATCTCTATCTATAATGAACTTGGCCCAGTAGTTTCAGTGGAAATTATTTTGTAAAAATTTACAAAATTTATGAAAATTGTTAAAAATTGATTATAAAGGGCAATAACTCCTTAAGGGGTCAATTAACCATTTTGGTCATGTTGACTTATTTGTAGGTCTTACTTTGCTGTACATTATTGCTGTTTACAGTTTATCTCTATCTATAATAATATTCAAGATAATCAAAAGCTGAAAAAATTTCTAAAAATTACCAATTCAGGGGCAGCAACCCAACAACGGGTTGCCTGAATGGTCTGAAAATTTAAGGGCAGATAGATCTTGACCTAATGAACAATTTTGTTTTGAAAGATTTGCTCGAAATGCTTTGGGTTTAGATAGATGAGCCAAAAACTGCATTTTACCCTATGTACTATTATTAGCCATGTCTCCCATCTTGGTTCGCGGGCGGGGTCATAAGACACAATTTTTAAACTACATACCCTAATGATGATTGTTTACAACTTTGGTTAAATTCATCTTAGTAGTTTCAGAGAAGATTTTTGTAAAAGAAAAAGAAAAAAATTTACGAAAAATTGTTAAAAATTGACTATAAAAGGGCAATAACTCCTTAAGGGGTCAACTGACCATTTTGGTCATGTTGACTTATTTGTACAACTTACTTTGCTGAACATTATTGCTGTTTACAGTTTATCTCTATCTATAATAATATTCAAGATAATAACCAAATACGGCAAAATTTCCTCAAAATTACTAATTCAGGGGCAGCAACCTAACAACGGGTTGTCTGATTCATCTGAAATTTTCAGGGCAGATAGATCTTGACCTGATTAACATTTTTACCTCATGTCAGATTTGCTCTCAATGCTTTGGTTTCAGAGATATAAGCCAAAATCTACATTTTACCCCTATGTTCTATTTTTAGCCATGGTGGCCATCTTGATTGGTTGGCTGGGTCATTGGACACATTTTTAAACCAAATACCCTAATGATGATTGTGGCCAAGTTTGGTTAAATTTGACCCAGTAGTTTCAGAGGAGAAGATTTTCGTAAAAGTTTACGGACGACGGACGCCAAGTGATGAGAAAAGCTCACTTGGCCCCTTTGGGCCAGGTGAGCTAAAAACTGCTAAATTTTCTTAAAAGTACCAATTAAGGGGCAGCAACCCAACAATGGTTGTCTGATTTGTCTGAAAATTTCAGGGTAGATAGATCTTAACCTGATAAACATTAACCCCCCCCCCCCCCCCACTAGATTTTGCTCTAAATGCTGTAGTTTCAGAGATATAAGCCAAAAACTGCATTTTACCCCTATGTTCTATTTTTAGCCATGTTGGCTATCTTGGTTGGCAGGCGGGGGTCATCAGACACATTTTTTAAACTAGATACCCTAATGATGATTGTGGCCAAGTTTGGTTAAATTTGGCCCAGTAGTTTCAGAGGAGAAGATTTTTGTAAAAGTTAACGACGGACAACGGACGCCAAGTGATGAGAAAAGCTCACTTGGCCCTTTGGGCCAGGTGAGCTAAAAACTGCTTCATACAAGAACAATTGGTAAGAACACATTGAAAATTCTCTGGTGCTTTTTTAGTGGATAAATTGTCAAAATCTATTTGACAAAACTATGCAGGGATTGATACTAGCATTATAAATAAATTTCAGTTGATTGCACAACCTGAATGATCTTTGATATTGTGACTTTCTTATGCTCTTGTGTAAAAACATTTTTAGTCTAGTTTTAGCTGTGAAAAGTAAAATGCTTTTAAATTACATATTTTCAATATTTAAACAGCTGTAGTTTATGAGAAATTTAAAATCATAGTCAAATCATCTCAAACCACTCTACTTTATATATATGTCAATACTGATTTTAAGTAGTTGAATCTTCACTCAATCATTTTCCAAAGAGGATATAAGAATTACAGGTGCCGATCCAAGATTTGACGTTAGGGGTGCTCCTTAAAATTAAGAGTTAGAGGACCATGTTTTGATTAAACATTTGCTGTAGTTTACCTAAAAATCACATTTTTTTTTTCTTTTTAGGAGAGGCGCGCCTTTGTCTGAATACGCACCAGCATTGGAGGGTTATGAGGATGGTTCCAAGGATTTAAACTCCTTTTTGTTCACAAAAAAGTTGGCAAAAATTAGGTAGACCACCAACCACATACAATTATCTAAGTCTTGTATAATAATACAAATCCCATAGACCCTCCTTAAAAAAAGGCTGGATCCATGTCTTGGATAAGACAACAACATTTTCCTATTCAATTGCATAGGAAGGTGGGAGGCAGTTTTTAAGGCACCAACCACCTATAATATAAAATTTTCATTTTACTTTTAATTCTTGCAAAATTTTCAAGAAAATGCAACTACCCACAATTTATATTTATCAATTTGAGTGCCTCCCACCCCCCATGCATTTAAATCTGGAACAGCCCTAACCATTATAGTCTAATAATAATACAGATCCCAGACCTTCCTTTAAAAAAGTCTGGATCCCTGCCTCATATAAGACAAAATTCCCTAACAAGTAGTGTTAGTGTTTAAACAAGGTTACCAGGATATATTGCAGACATGTTGTTGTAGAGACTCTGATCATAAGATGAAACAGGAACTTGTTCATGACTTGTTTGTGGCATTTGTAGCGGCATCTGCGGCATAGTTGCTAAAAAAAAAAGACATTAAAATTATACAATTGTATATCTATAAATTATTTCCATGTTTTTATTACTGTATAAATTGTGAAAGGATATATATATTTTGTACAAATAAAAACATCCACTTTAAAATTCAATATCATTATTTATATGTAGCCTTTCCTGAAATCGCAATAATTAATTTCGCGTTGTGTGCATTGTTCATACAACAATCACAATAATAAATGTGCACACAAATTTCTGAATTTACACAACTTTAATTATAACATTTCTATCAAATTCTACTTAGTTGTTCCCAGTCTGTGCCAAAAACTTTTCAAAGCACTAGCTTTGGAAAATTAGATGTAAAATCCTGCATTCTGAGGTTATATTTTTGTATCTGTAAGTGAATATAACTTATCAAAAATTGTTGTTTTTTTCTCCAGGTCAAATGTAAAATTCTCATTTTCTCCAATAAAAAATTAAAATAGTTCTTTTGCAAAAAAAAAAAATTTTTTTCCATAAACTCGTACCATTTCAAGTAAAAAGACATTTTAAGCACTATTAAATTATTACTCAACTTAGGGATTGTTACTTTTTTGGGGAAAAATTACCTCATTGTCATTGATGGATGATCCCAACCAGTTTAAAATTATTCCTAATATTCTTTCATATTTTTGTTAGTCTTAACAAGGATTCTTAAATGTCAAAGTTTAGTAAATTCTCTGGCACTTCTTTTTGATCTGGAAGGGGCCTTCATTTCTGTATTCTTTATTTTTTATGCTATTTTTCTCAATTCTTTATGTTTTGTCAATTTTTTTCTAAACAAATATTCTTTACGTTTTTTTTACCATTATTCTCTATTCACAAACCCCTATCAACACCCTCTTTATTTTCACTTTCGCCGTTAATTTTGACTTTTGTTTAAAATAATAAAATGCCTAGATCATTTTCTGCATAGGTTTTTTAAACTCGAAACTTGAAACTCGAAACTTCTCCGGTTATTCATGAAGGCATTTTCAACTTTTCAATGTTTTACCTGGGATAGCCCCCTGTTTCCATTTCAGAATCGAATGAGATCGAATCCTTGATTGTTTGTTTACATTGAGTGGTATTTATAGATTGTGTTTATTGCAAGCACATGGTCGAGCCTCGTTCTCGATTTCGTTGGGTATATCGCGTTGACGACTGGTTCCCTTTGATAAGAAGGGGGAACAACCATATATAATTAAATAGGGATACCAGTTAACGGAAGAAAACAAGGTCGGCGACAAATTTGTAACTTGTTTTTCATAGATTCAATAAAATACCGGCTACAATTTCGCAAACGATTTCAGATGTTCACAAGACCGGTCGGGCAAACACCAGTGCTTCTGCACAAGTCTGATGAAATTTTTACTAGACAGGGGCTTCGGGCTACCGCTTAACGTCGCAGACTGTTGTTCCTTTTTTTTAGGTAAACAATACTCCTCTAAGCAAAAGATTCAAAATAAACATTCAAATTTACAGCTAATAAGTAAAAGCTTTTCCTGCAATTTACAATTTTGTACAAAAATGTAAAAATAGTCTTTCCAAGTCTTGTATTTACATCTCAACAGCTGTTGTGAGGTTGCTGTCTGATTGACATATAACCCACACCAAGGATTTTGAAATTTTTGAATGCAAAGTTTGCTTTTGTTGAGCCAGAATTTTTTTTTTCAAACTGTCAAATTTATTTCAAATGTCATTACAAACAAATCTGTATCAATTGTCTTGCTACATGAACTGTATGACATTTTGTACCTTTTTTTTGTAAAAGAGTTGAAGAATAATTTATAGAATGCAACATTTTAAATCTGCAATGATTTTTTTTACTTGAAATTGCAAATTCTTTAGGTATTGATCATTCAGTTTTGAAATCGGAATTTTCAAGCAGATTATGATTACGAGTGAAATAGGATTTACAAAACAGGTTTTTTTTCTTCTAACTATCAAATTGCAGTAAATAAATATCTTTTAGACTCATCCAGTCTTCACCAAAATCTTTTCCAACAAATAGCTGGAAGACAAATATTCAGAAATTTTCCTTATATATTTAAACAAAGTTTTGCAAAAATTTACTAGTCCGAATAAAATTTTACTAGTCTGGGGCATCGGACTAGTGGCTAACACTGCAGGCTGTGACATATACTTGTAAAAGTGTTTTATATGAATGATAATGGTTTTCACTTATGTAATTTGGCATGAAATTATTGCGCATTTTACGATTGGGTCTTATCTTGTACTTGGCAAAAAGACGGGGACACTGGCATGCATGCATAATGGGTGACAAATATCTGCATGTTGGACTTAAAGTTCTTATTTTTAGGAAATTGAATAGGCCTAAAATTAATCTAACATATTTGTCGATTCTTCAAATATCCCAATAATACATGCACACAATAATTTCTTAATTTACAGTACCAGCAAAAACTATTTACCCCCAAAAAAAAGAAATTTCTGACAAAAGAACATTATCAATTATGTCAGATCTTAGTAAATTTACCATTTTTTTCTTTTTTGCTTTTACCTTAATCCAAAAATGCATATAGGCCAAATTATATCATACTTGTATTTACACTAACATAATGCAAGTTTCAAGTGCAGGAACAGTCCGACCTAAACAGTAAAATAGGGTCTAGTCAACAAAAAGTCTTGCCAAAAATTTTTTGATATTTCCACGACTTACGTTTTTGTTGTTCCTGAGGAATATTCATCCCCGTAATGGAAGACAAATCAAGCGTGTTATTCAACAGAGCATTTATACTTTTGAAGAGGTCTACGTTGTGATAGTGATTCTGTGCCTCGTAGTCTTCTACACTGATGGCTGGTATATCAGAATTCTGAAAAATAAAAATAAACATGAATCTGGGACTCGTAGTCTTCTACACTAATGGCTGGTATATCAGAATTCTGAAAAATATAAATGAACATGAAGCCCTGTATCATTGTCTTTTACACTGATGGATGGTATATCAGAATTCTGAAAAATAAAAATAAACATGAATCTGGGACTCATAGTCGTCTACACTAATGGCTGGTATATCAGAATTCTGAAAAATATAAATGAACATGAAGCCCTGTCTCATTGTCTTTTACACTGATGGATGGTATATCAGAATTCTGAAAAATAAAAATAAACATGAATCTGGGACTCATAGTCTTCTACACTAATGGCTGGTATATCAGAATTCTGAAAAATATAAATGAACATGAAGCCCTGTCTCATTGTCTTTTACACTGATGGATGGTATATCAGAATTCTGAAATAGAAAAAGAAATAAGAATCTCTCTCTCGCGGTCTTTTACACTAAAAGCTCTGGTAGGTCAGAGTTCTGAAAAAAATTGAACATTATAATATGTGTCTGTCTCGTAGTCTTTATGTTGAGGGCTGTTAACATGGTTAAGAGTTCAGGAAAATAAAATAAACAAGAGCCAATGATGGTGAAATGTTTTGCCCAGGCTGTTCAAATAAGTGTGGGAGTATGTTCCAGGACTTGTCTTCTCCAGTCCTTTGCATTAATGCTTTAAACAGAACCAATTAATTTCTTCAGGGGGGGGGGGAGCTTTTCACTTAAAAATTCAAATAGGCCTGGGCTATTCTTTAAAGCAAATTTCAACCCTGTTGCCTGAATAACTGATTATAATTTAATGTGTTTTAAGTCTACCGTATCCAGGTCATTAAACATACTAATTGTCGGGCTTAATAATGACAGTACATGCTATTTCTTTGCCAGATTTACTTTATTGATAATACTCCACAGCTTTGTTCTTCAAATCACAGTCGTGGCGTGATTGTCAGTTTGCATAGAATTCCGCTCAAACAGGTGCTAGGGGCTGTCTTTAACTTGCATTGAGGTGAGGTTTTTGGCTCCTAGCTGAAGGCCTCACTATGACTTTGAGATGAAGAACAGCAATAAAAGCACTGTTCCTTTGTTTTTTGCTGTCATGGATGGATACCCTATATCCTTTCTTTGTATTACAGTCAAAAGATTTACTAGGGGCCATTGCAAACATCTAGATATTTGATTTTTTTGTTGTTGGGTTGCAGTCTCAATTACATGTTCCTGACATTTTCTTTATTAATTTGTATACCAAACTAAATGTACATCTAAATATATAAGGTCAAGTTGATAAAGTAATTTTAAGCAAGGAGACAGAAATAAAATTGAGAATGGAAATGGGGAATGTGTCAAAGAGACAACAACCCGACCATAGAGCAGACAACAGCCAAAGGCCACCAATGGGTCTTCAATGCAGCGAGATACTCCAGCACCCGGAGGCGTCCTTCAGCTGGCCCCTAAACAAATATGTATACTAGTTCAGTGATAATGGACGTCATACTAAACTCCAATTTATACACAAGAAACTAAAATTAAAAATGATACAAGACTAACAAAGGCCAGAGGCTCCTGACTTGGGACAGGCGCAAAAATGCGGTGGGGTTAAACATGTTTTTTGAGATCTCAACCTTCCCCCTATACCTCTAGCCAATGTAGAAAAAACAAACGTACTACAGTACGCACAGTAAAACTCAGTTTAAGAGAAGTCCGAGTCCGATGTCAGAATAGGAAACAAAAGAAAATAAACAAAATGACAATAATACATAAATAACAACAGACTACTAGCAGTTACTGACATGCCAGCTCCAGACCTCAATTAAACTGATTGAAAGATTATGTCTTCATCATATGAATATCAGACACAATCCCTCCTGTTAGGGGTTAAGTATTATACCATCATAAAATATATGAGAAGAACATAACCTGTGTCATGCCAACAACTGGTTTTAGAATAAATATGTTTAATTCCAATGCAAAGACCCTACAAGTGAATCAATATTAAAGCCAAAATATGCAATCTTTAATGACCTGACAACAGTATCGTAACTATATCCCTTCTTAATAAGTCTGTTTAAAGGTTTTGTTAGCTTTTGAGGTGAATACTGACATTTTTGTGCTTATACCGATGATAAAATTTAGTAAATGTTTTGACTAGTTTATGATATCGAAAACCCTGGTGTAAGAATTTTTCAGTAATACATAAATTTCTCTCGCTAAAATCTAATACGTTGTTACATACACAAGCGAATCGTACAAGTTGAGATATATAAACACCATAAGATGGTGACAAGGGAAATTTTTGTATCAGATGTTGTTTCGATGGGTCTTTGCTGATTTTAGTCATAAATTGTAACTCATAACAATACAAAAACAGGTCCGCAATAAGTGGTGCACAGTTAGTCCCCATTGGAATTCCGATAACTTGACGATATACGGAATCTCCAAAGCGAACAAAAATGTTATCAAGTAAAAATTCAAGGGCAGATATAGTATCAAAGCATGTCCAATTGACATAGCTCTTTTGTTTGTTGCTACTAAAAAATGACCTAAAAGAGTTTGAACATATGTATTAGCATTCCGACTTTTTAAATGCCCATTTAATTAGGTATGTGAATTTTTTCTTAATAAGAATATGAGGCAAAGTGGTATATAGGGTAGAAAAATCAAAACTTTGAACAGATTCAAAATCACCAATATATGCATGCAATTTATCAAGTACTTCCGACGAGTTTTTGACACTCCAAAAGAAGTTAATTCCACTATTTTCAAAGGCCTTATTTGAACAATTTATTATCAGGTTTTTGATTGTACCAAGTGTACTAGTAAGTAGAATAGACAATTTAGTTGTGGAACAATGACTTGAAGACGAAATAAATCTATATTTGTAAGGTGATTTGTGTAGCTTCAGAAGCCAGTACATAGTTGGGACTTTCATTGTATTTGGTTCTGCTTGTAAAGAAGTACATATGTAGCTAATAGTTTATGTTTGTTACAGATATCGTTTTCTGAAAATGAAGTCAGTTGGAATGTTGGTGAATTCGTGATTTCCTTTTGCAGAACCTCAATGTAAAATTTACGTCAAACTATAATGATATTATTAGCAGCTTTACCAGCCAGGACAAAAACAAATTCCTTGGCTAGTTCTTTAAGTTTATGTTTGATACGAGAAATAGGATTTTTATGGTTGGTTAAGAATAAAATGTTCTTTAAAATGTTGTTTACGTATATCAACTTATAATCTTCATTACTGAATTAAAAAAAAGAGTCCAAAGATTTTTTGTCAGCTTTTTCCCGTTTTATCCATTTCAAACAGTAAGCAGGAAGTGACTCGTGGATGATATTACAACACTCATTCCAATTAATAATTGACGGGGGACGATATTTAGGTCCTTTACTGAGGAATGATTTTAACTCTTGGTCTCGAACGATGTTAAGGTCTCCTGTTATAACATGGGAAATGGGGCCATAAGTGTATTTGGAATTACTACAATTACATGACGGAAGTGTATTTTCACTGATATTTACATCTTTACAGACTTGGCTATAATTAAACACAAATTTTCGGGTAGATTTCTTGTAAATATAACAAATAAGAGGGAGTTCAGTATTATCAAAATATCCAGGAATTTGTTCTTTAACAGAATGGTCGTTAAAAATACCAGCAATATTTACAAAATCAAAACCTTTATTGACATACTTTATTTTAATAAAATATTTTTTATGATCTTCAGGGCGATCAATTTTGGGAAACAGTTTAGAATAACAATATGCCATTACAATTTGAACGGTTTCATACTTAGGACTGCAATATGAAATTGTGTTGCAATCCTCTAAAATTTTATTTTATTTATTTATAGGTAAAGAACAGAGCTTGGTTAATAAATAATGTCTGCCGTTGTTTTTTGAAATAGAAATTTAAGGTCCGAAATATTTGTATGGTTGGTCTGAAATTTTCTTTGATTGCGATTTTTTCTACGCCCATGAGAACGGTTTTTACGAACAGTTTTAGAAACTACATCCAAAATGTTAACAGAATCGGTTCTTGATATATTACCAATTCCCATGATATTATCATTAAGACCAAGGGTAGACTGTCTGTAATTTTTTAATCCAATTTAATTCAATTATTTTCTGTGATCGTGAATCAGATTCACCAGGCTGTTTATTTACTACTTCTAAAGGTTGAACTGTTAAATATTTAATAGGATGATTGTGCTTTTTAAGATGTTGATAAATGATACTTTTGAATTTATTGGGTCTTTTAAAACGATACAGGTGTTCTTGCGTGCGTTTAAATATCGTCCAGTTTCACCTACGTACTGAATACCGCATCCCGGTTTGTTTCACATATATATATTTTTTTGCCTAATATTACACTGGGAGAAACAAAATTTGACAAGAGTTATTTTGATTTATAAATAATTCTAACATATATATATGAGTAATAACTGAAATTACAATTGATTACATTCACTGAACCATGAAAATAAGGCCAAAGACAACTAACATATCACTTTACAGATAATAAGGCAATTACAAAAAATATATAGAAATTGTGTCTTTTAGCTTACCTTGCACTTAATGAAGAAAACTCAGGATTGACCTAATCAATACAAACTTGTATTTGCTGTATCTAAATTTGCTTCAAAAATGATATTTCAAAGGGGAATGAGCTCAGGGGTTCAAAGGTCTATGCTAGGACTATTTGAATTTACAAGTATAATAGGTCCTTGTTAAGAAAGTCAAAGGTTGAGTATAGCGCATCAGTGTAAAGTATTGGTTGCCCCGGATTTTTATAATTCAAGAATGAAGAGTCCCCTCCTGGAATAGACAGGTCATAGACCTCTTACCCATACTTATTTGAACTCCTTGAGAAAATTAGAATTACAGGTTAAAAATATATAATAACTTCTCTCAATTACTTTTCTCACATATTGCTTGCAGTGTTACCAGTATACATTGTATCTATAGTAAATATAATAAGGTCTAAAAAAAAAAGAAAATGTCGGTGTTTTTGCAAACATGCTGGAAAAAAATAGATAAGGTAGGTTAGGTAGGCAAATAATTTAATTTTTCAAACCATTTTTAACTGGTTTATAAAGGGGAAACCGTCTGACTTTAATTGTGCTTGTTCAAAATTGTCCAAAATAATTCACAAGAGTAGGTAGGGTTATTTGAAACAAAGGTTGTTTTTTTGTGGCTTAAATCTATATCTGTGTTTTCTTATGTTACCACGTTGTGCAAGACATAAATGTAGTATTTTAAAAAGTATAATAGAAAAGGGCCGATATTGGGTAGACTTCCATTTTCTAGGAAATAACCATTTTTTTTTTAATTTATCAGGAAATAAATAATAATAGGCCTCAAACTTTTATAAAATTACCAAAAACATAGATTAGCAATAAAAAATTATCAAGAATAAAAGCAGACCATTAAATGCATAGGTCATAATGAGTTTTTGAAATTTAATGTCGACAAAAAAAATATCTTTAAAAGCAATAATTTATGTTTGATCAATTAACCATATGTAAAAATGTATCAATAACCCATGAAGACACAGACCACCTAATAACACTGACCTATGGTCAAACCAATTAACCAGGTGGTCTTCAATTACATTCCAATAAATTATTATCTGAAGACATGTTGTGAAAATAAATGCAATGTTTCAGTTGAATTCAGGTCAATTTATCACAAACACAGATGTAGCTTCAGAGATCTATAAAAGTCTAAGATTCAAACTTTTTTAAAAGGAAATGAATGTTACACTAATGTTAAGATAATAAAATACCATTTGAATTTAAGACCACTTTACTCAACATGCTCAACCCATCTCATTAGTTCCTATCCTATGAAAACAAATTTTATTTTAATTTGAAGAATATAAAGAATAAAGAACTTTTATTGTTCTGATTAAGGACCTGTGATTATGACAGGGTAGCACGACATTTATACACACATATCAATAAAACTATGATTTTGTAACAATTTTTTTTTTTATATATATTGAAATGAAATATTAATATAAATGTGAATGTAGTTATCAACCTAAATATATTTCTTCATCTTATAAATAATGTGCATTTAATTCCAGACAAATTCAAGTTTGCTGCAACACAACCACTGTCAAGCTTGCAGAAGACCTTCTCTTTTCAGAAGGGAATCTGTAATTTTAATTGGCAGGCAACCATAGCGAAAATGAAATTATATTTCTGCATAAATTTAAACATCCATGACAGTAAATGCTCCCGCAGACAATAATAAAATTGAGAATGGAAACAGGGAATGTGCTAAAGAGACAACAACCCGACCAAAGAGCAGAAAACAGCCCAAGGCCATCAATGGGTCTTCAACACAGCGAGAAAATCCGGCAACCGGAGGAGGGCTTCAGCTGGCCCCTAAACAAAAATGTATACTAGTTCAGCAGAGTATTAAAGATTTGATTTAATTCGTAATTTCAAGTTTATAGAATAAAATGTAATTATATGCATTGAATGCTTCTTTCTGTACTTTAATTTATAGTGTTGTAGTATTGGTTGTGTGCACATGAGTCGTGAGTATATAATAAGGCGTTTCCATCAACGTGCTTCGGTCCACACTTTTTGCCCCAATAAAATCATTCAATTCTTTTAAAAATAAATTAAACGTCTATTTTTTTATTTTTTTTCATTATCATGGCATGCTAGAGGTAGGGAGCCTTTCCTTTTTATCCCTTTTCTCAATATATAATAATATCAAGGGGTCATTATACACCAGGCGAAGTGAGAGACTTTGTCATTTAGGACTCCCCACTTCTCTCTTAGAGAAGCTCCAGGGAGAAGTTTATGTTGCCCTCGATTTTAAGTAAAATTCCCCAACGTCGCCTCGTGATTTTTGAAAAATTGTCGATCAAAAATGCAAATTATTAATATTAGTTTTTTTGGGAGGAGGCATGTTGTCACTTATTCAAAATGTTTTTTTTATATAATGTCACATGCTTCTATTGATATGATTGTTTATTTTTGTTAGATATAAACAATTATTTTTATTAAATGCCTTTATACTAAGTATTCCATTGCAGTTTGAAGAAAACCTGTATGCCAAGTTCTAAATATGTGAAAATCTATTTTTTACTTCCCAATGAAGTTTCCTCCTAATCCATTGTACCCATTTAACAGCAGAGGGTATAAGCTATGATTTATACAAAAATTTAAAATACTTATCTTTTTGTTTCAAGTATTAATAAAAGCAGAATTTTTAAATAATATTTCATAATATACAGTTAGTCTGGTTCAAATCTCTCAAAATAGGCTCAAAAACATCACTGATATATAATTGACTTGCAACTGAATAATTTGAACTTATGTGAATCCGTATTCATGTGAACTTCAATTTAACCCCTTTGCTGGAGGTGGGTTACGCATGTACTAGGCGTGTTCAGCTATTAAAAGGAAAACAATGTCAACACTGAAAGTGAAACAAGGGTGATTCATTTTGCTCAATCCTATACAGGTAAAAACAATGACTAATGAAATCAAAACAGACCTAGAAAAATCCAATTCCATGTGGTCACTATCTGTTTATATTTATACTTATGTTTATATCGGGTTATATGACCGTCAGCAGTCTTCAGAGGTCATCTCATTGGTTAATTAGATGGCGTCTAGACTAAAATACACACGAAATGCTAATATATATTATGAGTCCATGCATTGTTAATTGTTTTAGACTTATTGTAATTTGGATATACGTTTTAGTAGTTATAAATCAAATATAAGAATTTGAGTCGTCGGTAAACAGCCAACAGTAGGAAAACAAAGGTTAACAAAATAGGCCGTTGGATTGTTGTCGTTTCAAACTTGAGGATAGTTATGAGGGTCTGGATGGGGTTTACAGAATAGAGAATAATGTCCAAAAAGTGCAGCTAATGCCCCTTTACAGCCATCATACATGTACATACAAGGTGTACAACCACATAAAATTCAAATTTGCCTTTACTAAGCACCAAAATAAATAATAATATAAGGAAAGAGTTCCAATGTCTCCTGCTTTGCACATATTTTGTCTATCCAAGGGCACTGGTTTTCGAACTTGTCAGAGACATTGTTGATATAAACCTATGATATCAGTTTAATTAAAATCTGACAAGAATTGTACACATGGTTAGCTAACAAGACTGGACGTACAGTAAAACGCCCTGTATTTCTATGTCCCCCGCAACATTTGAAAATTTTTGAAATAAAGACGAATATACACAAAACCGTAGATTATGGTTCATTTTTGTAGGTGCAGATACTTTTGAATCTTGAAGAGCACAAGCATAAACACCATAGACAGATAAAAGATTTCAGATCTGCTAAAAGCATTAATTTGCATCTCTGGAACTTGCAACAGTATTTTTGGAAAAAAATCTTAAAAACGGGCAATAATCTAATAAAATAAAGTCAGGTACTTAATTACATTCAGGTAGGTTAAAGTTGACTGTTTTGTCCTGCAAACATAAATACAAAACCAAAACATTTGATCATTTCCACAAGATTCCATTATTTTCATTGATTAGGCTACATGGTGATTGTACATGGTATTTCACCAAAAAGAAGGTAATAAAGGCATAGTGGTGTTAGGTATGTGGTATATAGGGGTCTAATTGGGGAAAAGGGGGGGGGGTCTGATCCTGGATCCCTTATCCTGCTAATCATTGTAATAATAGCGCTTGTAATTTTACGTGTACTGCCCCACTTTGTTCCCCGTTTTCTTTGACTTTCACTTGTCAGGCTTACAAAAAAATTTGGCCAATCCCGCATTACGCTTACACCCCAATGAGACCCACTATATAAAAATAGAAAATTGAATAATCTGACAATTCCAACAATGAAAAAATAAATCATCTTCTGCAGTACCAAAAAAATGCACAACTAAATCCAGTCAAGTTTTTTTCCTTTCTGAAACATAAAATGCATTAGAATTTTATCTAGGTTATACGCCATGCCTTAATATTAGCTTTCCAGTCTGTATTCAAGAGTAGACACAGCCATTTTAGCTAAAGGTAAATATAAAACTTTGAAGATGGAAGAAAACTAAAATTAATTGGAGAACTGGTTTACATGTACATGCATATAAAGATAATTTTATTTTCAATAACAATCATACAAAATATCTGTGCTTTAAAATATACTGCATGAAGAATCGTATCTGTATTTTTATCCAAGAATTGAAACGCGTTGATAAACTTACCAGTACTATGTATTATGACATATATCTATTTCAATCGAGTGCACCTAAATTATATACGGTCCATATGTTAGGCTATAAACACATTTTCATACTTTATGGACCATCTTGATTTTTTACAACAGGAGAAAGCAAAATTTCTTTTCATGACATTAGTCTACATCAATTTTTCAATATAAAATCATCATGCGGTAAAAAGTGACAGATTAATTCTTTCGACACCCATTCTATAAATATTCAAAGAGTCAGTTAAAACAGTTAACTGAAAATGTTTAACACTAAATATTTGTCTTCCTACCATGACCTGTTTTGCAGCAGACTCACGGACAGGAAATGAACAGCAGCCGTGGGAAGATGTCAATTCCGAAAATGAAACGGCGGGAATTGGTTTTAATAAATGTACTCATAAATACTCACCTGTTGATTGGAAGAATTCAATCCGAGCATTTGCATAAGAATACAGATCTACCTGTCAGCACTCCTTTTGGAATATTCTTCTGTCCCACGTGCTTATGTCGTGTGATAGGGAAGTGGAACTGACCTTCCTTCAACTTCAAACAATTTCATTGTAAAATTGGGATTATCAACGCTCCAGTTTCACCTCTTTCATCAATATACAGGGCATATTTATTACACACAATCAAATGTTAACAGTTAAAATAGCACTTCACATTAGTTTCCAAATCTTCACACCCCTTTCGCCAATGATGGACCAGACTTCATTCATGAAAATTCTTGCGTAATGATTAATTGCAACCGTGGGAATATGTTACAAATATCAACATTGTCAATTATTCATTAACATTGTTTGAATTGTTCATTATTTCAAGAGAAGTGAACAATTTCGGAATAGTTAGTAAATGATACATTTATTAGACAGGTACTGTAACATATACCAATGTTGAAAAATTAAAAAAAAGATCATATTTTTTATCCTATAAAAGATCATAAAAATCCTTGCAAAGACATAAAACGAGAATGAATAAATTTTCTTCAAAACAAAGAATTAATGTTAATACAAACTATAGAATAATTTAAAACACAAAAAAAAAACATTTTATAGCATACAGAAAATAAATACGATAAAAGATTAATTAAGAAATATCAATAAAAATTGCCATTTGAGATTAAATCATTATGATCTAATTCATCAATCGTCAATTGATGGTTTATATATACTGATAATGTTATCTGCCTAAAAAACAAAGGAAAACAAGATTTCCCTTTCACTTTTTTTAGAATTAGTGAAATGAAAAAGAAAAAAAAAGAATTAGTGTAATGTTGATATAAAATGCAGGGCATGTAATACATGACTTTCATTTACGATAGCAGACCTTGTTATCTTCAGACTAGATAATATATATGCAGATGTCGCGTTAAAGGGAGATAATATTGTGACGGCACATCCAAAACAAAAAGTACGAAGGGCTATGTCAGGTCAAATATATTTCGTATTATGTCTGCTAAATATCGTAACAGGTAAGATTATAATTGAAAAAGTATTCAAAGTCATTTTCATAATAGGTATTAATGCACAGAAAAATCATGAGCAATGTAATTGTCATCAGTAATTTTTTCGTCAGGATTCACTTTTTTCAGGTTTTCTTTCTTCAAAATTAGGAACTTTGCCTGTAATAGCATGAGGTTGATTGACATAAAACCATTCATTACAGGTGAGGGTGAGGCTTAAAATCCAATAAAGTTGCATGCAGGGCCTTCTATTTTGCATTAGTTATTTATATATTTATTTCATAAGAGTCGTAATCATCTTGATTTCGTTCTTTTTGTATTTGATCTTCCGTCATTCATTTTTTGTTCACTTTATTTCATTCATTTATTTTGAAGTGATCCACCGAAACAGAAATAAATGATTATTTGATGTGTCATCATATATTTTGGCATTTTAAGCCCGTCAATCAGTGTACTGATTTACCGCTTTCGTCATTTAGCCAACAATTTAAACTAAAACCGGTGTCATGGGCTATCCGAGTAAAATTTGCAGTGAGTTGTGAGTTTTGGAATCCTCGTTTAAACTTTGAAATTAAGAACAGCCATAAAAGTGCTGTTTCTTTCCTAGCCTTAGTTTTGTCAGGTTCGTGTATAGGGACTTGTGTTATAAATTTAACACACCAAGTTCCTTCTTTTCCGTCTTATTTACAGGCCTGTTCCTGGATCAGATGATGACAGATTGTCACGGATTACCCTTAGCTTGTATGCTTAAGAAGCAAAAGTCCGGACAATCACAGACTCTATATAATAATCTGCGTCAGAAGGCAGAGTCCAATACTTTGACCTCTACATTATATCAACAGCAACAAAGCATCGACAGCAATGGAGGTTATAACCCATCCAATATGGCTGCCATCGTTAAACAAAACACAGAGTCTAATAGTGAAAATGTTGGGATGACGATGGGAAATTCTGAACTATTGAGTTTCATGAACACGGGAATTACGGGGCAGTCGAGTTCTATGAATACACAAGGTGGGTCATCGCAGGGACGGATTTTAAATGCCAACATGCAAAATGGCGGCACACCTCTTTCTGGAAACTTGATAGGGAGTAGTTCTAACGGACAGAACAGTATTTCAGTATCCAAGCAAGGCAATGGAATGCAAACCATGCTTTCTGGTGGTGGAGCCTCAAATTCCATGAACTCGATGACTAATCCGTTTTCTAAAAGTATGACAAATTTGATTGGAAATGGCGGACTGCAAGGAAGTGTGCAAAGTGGCAGAGGATCTGCAAGTATACAAGGATCAGTCAACCAAGTTCAGGCATCTGTTAAAGATAACCAAGGTACATGTAATACTTTAAGGGTACTGCTGTTTTCCTTGGCATTGATAGAAAACTATCAGTTTCTATATTGATACGCTAAGTTCATTGTTCCCATCGGTTTATTTAGGACCATAGGACATAATATGAAAAATGTTTTTCTAAAGAATCACTCAACATAATATTTTTCTGTGGAACACAAAAAGGTGGTTTTCTTGTAACACTTGCCAAACATTTAGTGCAGCGCCAGTGCATTAAAACAAACACACAATCAATCAATTTTTTTAATGAAAATTTATTTGTTCTGTTATTTTCCAGTTCAAATTTTATATGTGATTTCGATCTAAGAATTGATTGCTTTTTCTTGTAATTATCTTGGGGTGTACCAGCGTTAACCGAAGCGCAGTTTTCAGCCGGATCGAGCGCTTTATACTAAAAAAGTATGCACGGTCCACCTTTTACATCCCTACAAAATTACAAATTGAAGCATACAATTTTTATAATTACTTTTCATGCTCTAACCATGAATTTACGAATTTATTTGAAGCTTTTCATTTCTTTTCCAATGCATTGTATCGTTGTCATGGAGAGCCTGTGCAGTAATAGATATGCTGCATTTTATTGGGAAGTAAAACCTTTAATTTTAAAAAGCCTCGTGATAGTTGTCAACCAATAAGATTTCAGAAAATCATGTGAAACATCTACATGTAAAGAAATTGTACCATGCAGGAATACTAAGCTGATCTTCAAACAATGAATTTTGTGATTTTTTTTAATATCGAATTCAATTGTTCTTTTAGAAACGTGCATTTGTCTTTTCTATCACAGTATATTAATTTTTTTTTTCAATTTTAGATAATTTAAAGAATATATTACTTCAGGTGGTGGGAAACACGTGTGGCCTGGACTGGCTAAACTGTCCAAAGGATTGTTTTTCAGTGGACAAGGTAACCGGATGTCCATCTTGTTCTTGTGAGTTTATTTCTGTTTAGTTTTTGAAAGTTTTTTTTTTACTTGAGAAATAAAGCTCAAAATATTGTTTACTGGTACCCCCTAAGATAAGCTATATTTGATACAGTCACTATAAAAGATATTGACTTTAAAATATTGTTTTGTTGACAGTCTTATCTGACATAGCACAGATACAAAGTGTGTTCAAAGTTGTCCAGATGCAAAGTAATATTCGTCCTAGGGGCAGTCGTTTTGATGTGCTAGATTCCCAATATCATACTGCTGCTGAAACAACAATAGAATGTGTTAACATTATAATGGCTCAACGTAAACCTCTAACTGTATTTCATTTGCCTTTGTTTAAGAGTTTGACGATCGAATATCTGATATGGAAGTCACAAATGTGCGTTCGTTTTTATAGAACAAGACTGGTAAACGTCAATGTTAGTTTGTGAGGGTCTAGATGATTAAATGATATAGAATAATTGGGTGCTAAAATATAAAGAATAGCAAATAATGGGCCAAAAAAAAAATCAAGAATAGAGAAAAACAACGGCTTAAAAATTAAAGACAACAGAAATGAAGACCCCAATCCAGACCCTCATTTATGTGATTAAAAAAAGATGATCTTAAAAATACTGAGCTAATTTATATATATATATATATTTCTAATTTATTGCAGGTAAAAGACCACAATCGTCTAATTCAAAAGGCAGCCAACACCAACTAGGTAATAATACACATAAAACTATCCTCTACGAAGGTTTCAAATCATACAGTTCGTATACATTGTTGCTGCCATTTCATTTTCACTAAATCTCTAAAGTTGATCATGTATGAAAACTGTTAAACGACAAAGTATGCTGATAGTATTGCTAAATAACCGCTCCAGTTATTACAAAAACGAATTGTAAACGATTAAATCAAATTAAAGATTTGCATAACAACTGCTCCAGTACTATTTACATAACATAATTGCATAATTACCGCTCAAGTAATCACAATAAAGAATTGCATAATAACCGCTACAGTATTCACAATAAAGAATTGCAAAATAAATCTTGGTTTTTGGTTAAAATCTCTTCACAATAGCTTTTTACATCGGATGACCGTGAGGGCATTCCGGTGTATTGCTGTCGCCTAGATTTCCATTACGTAACTTTTGTGTTGGGATTGTAACCGATCTATAAACATGATAAATACGCGGACATTATCGAGTGCAAAATAACATTCCTTATCGCTTGTTATAAATTCATTTTTTCAATGGATACTCATAAAAATATTTTTTTTAGAACATGAATTAATAATATGAAAATGTTTTGTCGTTAGAAATATATATATAAGTAACAAATCTTTAATAGCTATGCCCACGAACAGAAGATGTGTGTTAACGCATGCGGAAGAATATCTCAAGAACGTTTGCAATCTCCCATGCAGAGTTATCGGTTCTCGCTCTCTCTCAAGGACCGATAACTCTGCATGGTAGATTGAAAGTTTGGCGGGAAAATATGAATGCCGTCTCAAATCCAATCTATTAGAAAATTCGAATTATTACAGAAGAGTGTCCATCATGCACTTGCACTGCACTATTATTAATATAGTAGAATAGAATGATATACAAATGGATGAAAATTATATATATACATATGTAACTGT